GGATCTTTTATATAGATCATATCCTCCCCTTCCACACACACCTGTAAACTATTAACAAGTTCAAAAATGCTAAATACACATAAAATACGTTTTCTCATTCAATGAAAGTTGTATAGTTTTGTAAGCTTCTTAGTGTTTAATCTTTTGTATATTTCCTTCACATTTCTGAATCGCAGCACAGCCACGTTATTTATCACATCACTTATTTGACATTTGTGTTGTTTAGTGTTAAGGAAATTCTAAGTCGAAAGATAACTGAAAGATGGTCATGTGTATGATAGAAATGTTATATTTATTTTTCAAAATATACAAGTGCATTACACGGCTTTGTAACAAATGGAAGGATTGAAATGTATACATTTTGACGTGGTTCTGTTAAAGCTTGCATGAAGGTAAAAGTTTAGCATGGTCGCTATGTGCTGCAGCACATGATACTCCTATTAAAGATGTAGGCCGATCTCATGATAATGACACCATATATTTCTCTTAAAAAGAACATCATAGGACAATTTTCTCCAGTGCATGCTTTATGGATCACCACATACAGGAGCACGGTGTTGAATGAGGAACATAGCAACAGGGCAGCTGCCTCCAATATGGGATATATCCCATAGAGATATCCCATGTCACAATTGTAGGACGTATTTTACATTATATTCTAATGACCGGTTACTTAAAAATCTGGAAAAGATTTCTTCTCATCAATAACTAACAAAATTTTAGGACTTTAAATAAAAAATATTTACTATTGAAAACTGAATAACTGGCAAAGTTTTCATCAACCAATAATCAATTGATAAAAAAAATTTAATCTTTGTACCTTAAGTGCACATAATATAACCATTACAGAGATAAATGCTCGAGTAAAATGGATGGATTTTTTTTTCTTCAATCAATTTGTTAGGTACAAATTCAAAATAAAATCTAATGATAGGGGACTTAAGTAAACTCATTTATCTGTATGTAGTTGGGACGGATTCAAGGACTGTGTTAAACCCAAGTTTGGAAAGATTTAAAAAAATTAAGTCAAATGGAAATTTGTAACAAAAATTGTTGTGTTGAATAATCATGAATTAATTGATTTTAAATTCATAATTCACATAATAATTGAAAGAAAATTGTATGCAAATGCACAACACTTAAAAGAGCTTTGAAAAAAACAGTTTATCTACATCAACACAAATTTTGAGTTCAGCGCAATAAAAATCCTAAGATTTCATTGGCACGATTAAACCGTGCCACTATTGTACCTAACATATTTATGAGCTGCAGAAATGGAGTTGTAAACAAAAAATTCATAAATAAACCAAATAGCCAATCATACCCCTGATTTAAATTCCATTTTCCATGAAAACAGAATAAATCCACTTCTGTCGGAAACACTTTGCAGTCTCACTAGCAGGGGGTCTAACTTCATTTCCAAATTATTTTCACAAATTATAAGAATCAATTATCAACTAAGATCGTAAAATAAAATATGTATTTATAAACTCATAAAGATTGTGAAAAAAAAAGACCAAATAAACCCCTCTAAATTTTAGGAAAACAATGTGTAAATGTGTCAGGGAAGGAGAGACACGTGCCATATAAAGAGAGACACGTGTCAGGGAAGGAGAGACACGTGCCATATAAAGAGAGACACGTGTCAGGGATGGAGAGACACGTGTCAGGGAAGGAGAGACACGTGCCATATAAAGAGAGACACGTGTCAGGGAAGGAGAGACACGTGCCATATAAAGAGAGACACGTGTCAGGGAAGGAGAGACACGTGTCAGGGAAGGAGAGACACGTGCCATATAAAGAGAGACACGTGTCAGGGAAGGAGAGACACGTGCCATATAAAGAGAGACACGTGTCAGGGAAGGAGAGACACGTGCCATATAAAGAGAGACACGTGTCAGGGAAGGAGAGACATGCTGCTATATCAAAATAAAATGTCCATGGATCAATACTGGCTTGGGCCACCTCATAGTTAGTAATATGAAGACATAACAAAATTGGGATATTTCAACATTTTCTTGTTTATATGTGCATTAAACAAAGATCTGTAAAAAAAAAATACTTTAAAATTTGAAATATTGATTTAAAGAACACACAAAAAAATATATTTTTTGTTAAATCCTAGGAACTCCTAAAAAAAAATTGTTGCGTTTTGAATAAAATACTTCTTGTCTTTATAATAACAAATTAAAATGTTACATTTTTTTAAAACAAAATACAGAAAATATGGTGTGAATATTAAGACACATATTTTTGGCCTTTTGTTTTATCATCATATTTATCTATGCATGACAGATATCCAACAATGCAATTACTCCCAGGGACGCAAATAAAGCAACGTACAACAGGCAGACAGACTATTAGAGACTTGTTAGCTCAAACCAATTTTGATGTACACTAGAGATTTGTGATCACAGCAATGCTTTCCTGTTAGAGAAAAGGTTTAATATAAAATAAAAGTGGACCAACATGGTGTATGCATGGGCATACACCTGGATATAGTGGACCAACATGGTATAAACATGGGAAATCCACCTTCATGTACTTTCTGTATGTAAAGTCACACAAAGTTAAGGAACTTGGCATTGTTACATTGTGATATCAAATAATTAAAAAAATACAATATATAGATGTAATCACCTTGAAAGATATTTGATCAACATAAGTAAAGGTTTATAATTATTTGTTTATAAAGATTGCACACAATCACACATCTAGGATCTTATTTAGCATATCATTTTCAAATTGGTGAAGTGCTCCATGGCCCTAATTATCCTTAAGTTTAATAGCAAAGTGAAAAGAAATTTTAAGGTAACATTTTAAAAAATAATTATATATTTTTGATTATCTTGCATTATTAAATATTAATATCTATATATATAATTCGCCAGAAGAAGTGGGGCAAACAACAAGACGACAGGCTATATATAGATACGCCAGAGCAAGCAAGATGCAGGCAAACCCTCCCTTCCCTTTCCTTGCATGCCCATCGTTGGTCTCGAGACATGCGAACTGCGGTTGAGCTACCTCTCCCCCCCCCACTGCACCACCCTCCAGCCAGCCAGCGCTAAGCCGCGGGTCGGCATGAAATAAAAAGTGTGCAGTGACTATCATGAAAAGGGGGGGGGGGGGGGGGGGGGAAAGGGGTGTAGCAACATTGCCATTCTTAAATGTGCGTAACTTTTTGTCAAGTAACTTTAGGAGATGGGAAGTTCACGCATTGCTACCACCGATGTTTGGCGGGCTATAACTAATATTTTTTTATTTTATTTAAACAAAGGTATATGTGTATATTATATATTTAATAAGTTTACGAAATAGCAGAAAAGCTGTCTAATAGTTTAGAGAAAATCTTGATCAGTTTTAAAAATTGTTTTGATTATAAAATTTGATTTGAGTCAAACCATCAAATAAAATACTTAGCTAAATATTCACAACCAGATAATTTTTTTCCATAAAATGGACCGATTTCGAATCGTTAAATGAAATTCATTCCAAATTTGTGGCAGAGTATTAGAGCCCCTCACATTTATAAAACCATATAGTTAAAAAAACTGCAATCATTTAATCATTTACTGCATTCCCCCCTTGGTGTAAGGTCAAAGGTCAAGATTTCAACCCTTCTGACTTTTAAAAAAGAAATAGATTTTAATTGTTACAAAAATTTTTTACATTTGTAAAGAGTACCAAGATAAATACAATGGATATATTATATTTTTGTATGAAATACAATCATTGCATGCAAATATTTAGTAAATTTAAGTGGTAATTACTATCTAAAATTTAAGTTTATTGCATTATTTGCACGAGTTGTAAATATTATAATTAGTAAATACCATAGTTCATCTCAGTGCTTCTAAGTACATGCTTTTGATTTAGCTACCTTGTATACCTTGTACATATATACATAGAAAATACAAAACAAATGCTAACATTATCATTTTAAGCTATTTTCCATTTTTGGGAGAACGAGGACACAACTCTTAAAAAATGGCTTCATTTTTAAATAAATCTGGTAAAAAAATTGTTTTCATGAGACATAGAATAATATCAATGGATTCCTCTTCACTCAGTTCAAAAACAAGCAGGGACATCAAAACAATCCATGATTTCAAGTTGTTTTGACTGTCAAGTCTACAACAATTTCTCCTGTGTCCTAAACTCAAGTTACATTCCTCTTTAGAGGTGATTTTCTTGATTTCTCGACAAATAGGATTTCTTTTTCCTTTGCTTCCTGTTCCCAGCGCTCATCATTGTCAATATATTCGTTGTTTGTCCTGTTAAAGCTGAACCAGACTTCATTTCTTTTTACAGTTTTCTGGCCCTGGTTTCCATTTCTTGAAACATTGCCTCCAGAAGTCGTGTTAGTCTAATACTGTCGAACTCGTATTTCATCCTGGTCATCCAGCTCTAGCCGGATCTTTGAAGGATATCGTGGTGGTGTGGATAAAACGGGAACCTCCCTCCGTGCATCGGATACAGCACCTGTGCTGTGTCTGTAGTTGACAGTTATGGAATTTAAATGTCCAATATGAGCAATGCTTTTCTTTTTAAATTTCATTTATCTCCTACCCTCAATGAAATTGTGTCAAATATTGTGACGCAAAAAATTATTAATTTGTTAAGTTTGTAAATAATAGAACGATTTTATTTCACAGTAAATTTTATGGTCTTCTCTCATGTGCTTATTTCGGGAGATAAATCAAACACGACTGTTGAAAAAGCTGCATGTCAATTTTCAGCAAAACAAAACCTTACTATAATCATTCAAATGTTTTTGCTATAGTGAAAGCAAGTGTTTGATCTTTTAAATCACAGAAGCAATTGATGCTAATTGTACACATAGAAAGGATACAGAGAGCTAGACTCCCAGGCATGTGGGTTATGATAGGAAGGGACTTTACTCTCCACTTTACTGTGGTGCTGTTTCAGCCACTCTTTCTGCTCGGCCAGTTGAGACTGTACGGATGACACTGGTCTAGCTTCTGTCAGACTCAGATGAAAATGTCTGTCCCTGCAATGATTTATCAGTTTTAATTTGAAAGAAGTTGGATGGATCAATTTTTGAACTTCGTTAAGTCAGTCACTCCATTATAATTCATAAATCAAGTTTTGTATTTGATAATATACAAAACATCCACTTCAAGTCTTTTCTATTTTAAAAAAAATAACATTCAAAGAAACCAGTCACAGCTTTCAGTCCCTAAATTCCCTACAGACAGTGCCATTGAGAGGGGTCATTGAGAGAGGCCACTGAGAGGGGCTCATTGAGAGAGGCCATTGAGAGAGGCCATTGAGAGAGGCCCATTAAGAGAGGCATTGAGAGGGCCCATTGAGAGAGGCCATTGAGAGGGGTCATTGAGAGGGGCCATTGAGAGAGGCCATTAAGAGAGGCTGGGCCAGTGGGAGGGGCCATTAAGAGGGGCCCATTGAGGGGGGCCATTGAGAGGGGCCATTGAGAGAGGCCATTAAGAGAGGCCATTGAGAGAGGCCATTAAGAGAGGCCATTGAGAGGGGCCATTGAGAGAGGCCATTAAGAGAGGCCATTGAGAGGGGCTCATTGGGAGAGGGCCAGGATACCAGACGTTTTGGAACCAAGTTGTATTTTTTTTTTTTACATGCAATGATGTCACAGAGATGCTGCATCAACAATTTCACCATTTTTGCAAGGCTTCCTTCAAGTCATAAGTAGGACATTTGCACAGGACAAAATACTTATTTCTATAAAAGAAATGTAAAGTGATAAATAATATCCATTAATATTAGAAGCATGTGCTTCAATAATTGTTTACTTTGATCCATACTTGCCAAGTGATACAATCTCCTCAAATTGTATACCTGGTTTTAGCTTTTACTGATGTGTACATGATTTTTGTCCAGGTTTTATTTGGTTATTAAAAAAAATATTATTTTAAAATTTCACAAGTTCAACAGGCTGATGAGGTTTGACAAAAGATTTATTTAGCTCTGACCTTCAATTCAATATCTTGTTAATACGAAGCTTATAGCCCAAAGTGAATTTTTGGTCAGTGTATTATCTAAAAATAGCTTTGGCTGCCCCCAATGCAATAGAATATACAAGTCGAGAATAGGGCATCAAAGTCACTGTGATAATCATCACAGTCACCGTGATAATCATCACAGTCACCTTGATAATCATCACAGTCACCTCCATAATTATCACAGTCACCTCCATAATCATCACAGTCACCTCCATAATCATCACAGTCACCTCCATAATCATCACAGTGACAACCAAAATAATCACAGTCACAATCAAAATCATCAGTCACCTCCATAATCATCATAGTCCTAATCAAAATCTCACACATTCCTAATAAAAATCATCAGTAACCTCCATAATCCTCACAGTCACCTCCATAATCATCAGTCACCTCTATAATCATCAGTCACCTCCATATCCACATAGCACATAAAAAACCAAAGCTTCTATCCACATGTCACTTTACGCTACTATAGTGAAATAGAAAGTTACTAGACGGTACACTCAATAATTATATCAAAATATGACGATATTGATTTTTGATTCTTTTACTTAAATACAGGAATCATTATTACCATGAATTATGTCCAACTACGGCTAAAGTGCTATCAAATTCATCATCTGAGTCCATTTTTACCAAATTGCCATTGATAGGTGTAAAAAAAACAAAATTTGATGAAAATTTATTTTAAAATGGTAGTTTATCCATTTAGGAAGGAAACATGTTTGAATGAGTGCAAAGGAAAGGGGAGAGTATCTCTTATGTATGTTTTGCTTCTGGTGTGACTGCTTCCTTAGAGCAGCCTGCTCTCCCCCTACTCAACATGTTTTATATTAATAGTATTGAGTAAAAGAAGAAAAAAAAGCTGTCCAGCAGTGAGCATCATGTGTGATAGTTGAATCCAGGTGAGAAGTTTGAATTTTTTCGGAGATGACTATTATATTAATCAATAAAGAGCCATGGTTATGGCGTAGGACTGTCTGTAGGACTCTCTTGTTTAAAGGACTGCATATATTATATAAATTGAGAAGTTAACTCGTTTTTGGTAACATCTGGACCCACCAGGTATTTTTTTAAAATATCCGGGACCCAGATAAAAAAACTGATCCCGGTTAAGCCCTAGTTAATAAATATATTTTTCTTCTTGCTATATTATATGGACATTCATCATATGGATTGAAGGTTAAATTCATCATTAAAACATCTCACCTGACAGACATAGAAGCATGTCCGTAGCCGTGCGATGGTGTGACATATGATGGGCCAGCTGTGAATGGAGCTCTTCGATCTTGAAACAAGAAAAATTCAAAATGCTTATTTTATGTATTACAAACAAGCACCCCCCCTCCCCTTCCACAAGAATATGTTTCAAAAATATGCTTTTTTAAAGACTAATAACCTTTGCTGTTAGATGATTTAATATTTATGAATGAAAAATCCTAAAATATCCATCATGCAGCAATTTCAACGCCCCAAGACCAGACTCACCACCAAAATACTTTCTCCATTTGCGTTCCAAGGACTGCTCGGCTGTGTAGACAAGCGTTGAGTAATCTTTGGGTGGCGGGCTGAGGAGAATTTTATGTTTCTAATGAACTGCTGGGCCTGGATTCTTTAAAACTTATGGATCAAGTGGGAAATAGTAGTTTCCATGCAGAATTCTATTTCTCTTTAAGGGGATCAAGATAAATAAGGGCATGCAGTAGTAGTGAGTGCATTTGTAAGGTCAGAGGTCAAAGTGTTGGCCAGGTCAAAGTGTTGGCCAGGTCAATGTTGACGAGCCTAGTAAATTTAGAAAAAGCCAACTAGCAGTTACTTTGTTGTGTGGAGAGAAATAATTTTGGGTCTGCGTCCATAATACCTGACAGTTTTTAGATGGTCAATTAGTCACAATGGTAGGAGAGTGATGTTGCGATGGAGATGAGACCAGTTTTATGAGTTGGAATTTATAGGAGTCGATGCTTTCAATCTTGCATTGTAATTAACAAGAGAAAATGAACACTTTAAAAACTTACCCTTGTGGTGGGTGTGGTGACCAAAGGACTGCTTCAGGAAGGCCAGAGTAATGATGATGTGATGGGGTGTAACGCACAGGCAGGCGATCTGAAACAGATGTTGGGATCACTTAATATAGGGTTCTTAAATCACCTTCAGGGCTAATGTACACAAGACAAAAACACACTATATTATTTAAATTTTAAAACTTACAGACTTAAAATGTGGTACGATTAGTAGGAATCAAACTTTAAAAATTTTAAAACTTACAGACTTAAAACGTGGTACGATTAGTAGGAATCAAACTTTAAAAATTTTAAAACTTACAGACTTAAAACGTGGTACGATTAGTAGGAATCAAACTTTAAAAATTTTAAAACTTACAGACATTGTACCCAAAAGCAAAAATCCAATTGTTATTAAAAAGAAAATAAGTGGAAATATTAGGTCTATTAAAAGCCAGTTTACAAACATAGCTGGATATATTAGGTCTAGCTGCAGCCAATCTCAAACATAGCTCAAATATTAGGTCAACATTTACAATGCTGATTATTTCAGGGATCTTTTTCTAAAGTTGATGCTTGTGACATAAGATGCAGTGTATGCAAGGCTTGTCCCATACTAATAGATGTAGTGTAGGCATGATAACATATGCAAGGCTTGTCCCATACTAATAGATGTAGTGTAGGCATGATAACATAAGCAAGGCTTGTCCCATACTAATAGATGTAGTGTAGGCATGATAACATATGCAAGGCTTGTCCCATACTAATAGATGTAGTGTAGGCATGACAACATAAGCAAGGCTTGTCCCATACTAATAGATGTAGTGTAGGCATGATAACATAAGCAAGGCTTGTCCCATACTAATAGATGTAGTGTAGGCATGATAACATAAGCAAGGCTTGTCCCATACTAATAGATGTAGTTTAGGCATGACAACATAAGCAAGGCTTGTCCCATACTAATAGATGCAGTGTAGGCATGATAACATAAGCAAGGCTTGTCCCATACTAATAGATGTAGTGTAGGCATGATAACATAAGCAAGGCTTGTCCCATACTAATAGATGTAGTGTAGGCATGATAACATAAGCAAGGCTTGTCCCATACTAATAGATGTAGTGTAGGCATGACAACATAAGCAAGGCTTGTCCCATACTAATAGATGTAGTTTAGGCATGACAACATAAGCAAGGCTTGTCCCATACTAATAGATGTAGTTTAGGCATGACAACATAAGCAAGGCTTGTCCCATACTAATAGATGCAGTGTAGGCATGGCAATCAATTTAGAAAGGCTTCTCCCATACTAATAGATACTCAAGGCTTTTTAAATTTAATTACTTGTTTTTTTAGATACACGCACCACATGCCTCCCCACAGTGTTTGCACAGGTCGTGTTGGACATACCTGCTGCTGGAGTTTCCCCATCTCTGTCAATGTAGTTGAGGACACGGGACAGTTCAGAGTTGATCTTGTGAAGGGCTTTGGCAAGGTCATCTTTACCACCCCCTCCCACGTGATGTGGGGAATGAGTGGTGTACGATGGGGCTGAAGTGTACTTGTTGTGCCCTGGAAAAGAAATCACGCAGCCAATTGAGCCAAATCAAGTTCAGTTATTTATTATTAAGTTTCAAATTAAAAAGACTTTTTCAGCTGGACGGACATTAATAATAAGCCTGTGTAAAACATTAGTGGAAAATATGAATTCTTGTTCAATATTATTTAGGAAATAACAATAAGATAAAGAGAAGATATCGAGTTTATGTTTAAAAAAACAACAATTAAAATGTTTAATTCAGTCAACATTTTGAACAGAAACAGAGGGAGAGATATGTTTACAAACTGAACTCACCATACAAGAAATTATCCAGACTTGCATTTGAGCTGCTAATACCACTGCTGTCATCATCACTAAGGTCAAGGTTAGGGATCTTGACTCTTTGCCATGGTCCAGCAAAGGGAGAAAACTCTGATTCCTCTTCATTCTCACGCTGAATAAGAAAAAAAATAATTGTCAGACTAGTTTCTTTAGTGTTACCTCTTAAGATCAGTTGTCAGACTAGTTTCTTTAGTGTTACCTCTTTAAGATGAGTTGTCAGACTAGTTTCTTTAATGTTACCTCTTTAACAAGAGTCTAGAATTTTCATGCTTGACTAGGTTTTCTTTTTTTAATTAAAATTGTTTACGTGCAAAGCTTCTTGTTTTCCACACTGACATTTTCTGAATTAGATGACACAGAACTCATTTTGAATTTCAATTCATTTCTATAAATGAAAAATAACCAAACTCCTTGGAGAAAATGAGTGCCAGCTTTCTGTTATATTAGTCATTCATTCATCAGCAGGATTTTGTTTATTTCATAACTCTCATCTCAAATAGGGTCATGTTGAGCTTATGTCAATGTAACATTAAACATGGCTAAATGCATCTTTCTGCTAAATGCATCTTTCTAATGCATTATTGATTTACCTCTTTAGCTAAGTCTTCCATCTCCAGCAGTTTAGCCTCTTTCTGCTTCAGCAACCTTGACCCCGAGTTGACCTGAATTTGAAGGGAATCAATATGATTTCTCTCCCTTTCTAAACTTTGCCTCACTTCATCCAACACTTCAGCACCATGATCCTGAAGATGTTTAATAAAACAATGTCATTTTTGCTCACAATGTTATGTTTGCTCACAAAGTAATGTTTTCTCACAATTTCATGTTTGCTCACAATGTCATGTTTGCTCACAATGTCATGTTTGCTCACAATGTCATGTTTGCTCACAATGTTATGTTTGCTCAGTTCAATTTTTGAACAATTTATTTTTCCTTTAATCTTCAAGACAATTACACACAAAAATATTGGCTTTTAATTTTAAAAAATAGTCAATGAAAATGGAGAGTAGATAAGAGCTAAATAGCCCTAGAGTGACTCACCCCTTGTTGCACTTGCCAAGAATCTTTAACCAGTTCTTGCTTAGCTGCAGCCAACGCTGACTGCCTTTGTTTCAATGCCCTACGTTGTTTCTGTAGAAATGATTTAGCCTTGCTAATGGTCAAGCTTTCTTGGGCCAGATGCTCTTTTAGACCCCTGAAAATGTTGGAACCACTAGAAGATTTACTAAATGTTAAATGAAAACTGGCAGAGGGTGGTGGCAGAATCAGTGAGTCATGAGGCTTTCCCCAGCAGGATTGTCAGGCATGGGGGATGCCCGCTGAACAACAAACTGACATCCAAGGGGCTAAGCTTCAATTATAGTATGAAAACTGGCAGAGGGTGGTGGCAGAATCAGTGAGTCATGAGGCTTTCCCCAGCAGGATTGTCAGGCATGGGGGATGCCCGCTGAACAACAAACTGACATCCAAGGGGCTAAGCTTCAATTATAGAACAGGTTTCCATAAAAAAATCAAAGTTATTTCCCTTAAGATTGTGTTAAACACTATGATAATTCATCTTGGTGACCTTTTTTTGTTAAAAGAGAAGAACACAGAAAGCCAACAAGCTATTAGGGCACAGCTGCTGATGGCAAAATAATTGGTCTGTGTAAATGATTTTACCTTTTGTTAGTGCCGGGTAAACTGGGTTCAAGCCATCCATCATCCGCTGCTAGAACATCCTGCCAGGATACTCCTGCCTGAGGTAATAAAAATCGGGAAATTAGTTATACGCAAATAAAATACACACAAGATAAATCCTTCAAATGCCTCTGTTTTAATTTGAAAATTTAAAAACAATAATATTTTTGATAATTAAGTACCTGAATGCAATTCATTTGTAATCATATGACTCACCCTCAATAAAGTCTTTGGTTTGTTTGGACCTATAATTGAGAAAAGAGTACACTAAATTCAGCTTTCATGCATCATTGCGTAGTTCAAGGAAAGAAATATTACCAAAAAAATGTCAATGTATTTTTCAAATTGTTACAATTTTTAATACACCAATGGTATAAAAAAAACAAAATATTAAAATCAGCTATTTAAAAAAAAATATTAAAAATTCTATGGCTCAGTTCATTTATTTGTAAGATTCACTGGAAAGAAAAAAAGGAAATTAACATGGACTAGATGAAAAGATTTCAAACGATAATTTAATCTTCATCAGCTACTAGCTGTTTTTAAAAAAATGAGTTAAAAAAATTTTCATGTAAATAAAAAAACAACAACATACTTGAGAGAAAGTCATCCTCCTCATCACTGGACAGTCCAACATGATATGAACTAGTTCTTATAGCATCTGTGGTCAGTTTTGTGGTAGAAGTTGTTCCTACCAGCCCTGCTCCACCCCCTTCAGCTCTCACAGCTGACGTGCTGTGTTCAGTTTCCTTCACAAAGCGATCCTGAAGCCCTTCAAATTCTTTCAGTTTCTTTTCAACTCTTTCCCTCATCTCGCTGACGTTACAAGAATTACATTTAACAAATTTATATTGAGAAAAATAAATTTTTCCTCTTTTTTTTTTTCCTGTTAAAAGCTGAATATAAAATTTAAAATAATAAAAATATGTAAGTATAAATGAGCACGCTTTCATCTTAGAGCTAGTAAACAACTGAACAGATTATTATGTTAACGCTATGTGTTAGCAAAAATTTGAACTAAAATTGTGTTTAGGCTGTATGGGCTTAACAAGTAGTACATATGGGTGGAGCTAGCACTTGGTCATTTTTGGGACATTAAAATTGGACGAGTTGTAGCATAATGAAGTTCATTATGTATCATCTATCTATTGATGTTGAACATCAACCCTATGGTTGTATTCAGACATCTTTTTGTTTCTCTCAATATTTCTCAAACTCATCTGTTTGTTTCTATGGGTCCACCGCTCTCAACCACCTAAACATTTAGTTCCTAAGGGTCAGGACATTGAACTCAAGCTTTGATTACCTGAGTTTTTTGTTCTGCTGCTCCCTAGACATCTTCAGCTTGATGACGTCCCCTTCCAGAGTTTTCCTCTCTTGTTTGGCCTTGTCCAGGTGACCCTGCTCCTCACTGAGCTCCTGTAGCAGTTGTCTCCGCTCTTCCCTCATCCTCTCCAACTCTGCTGCTCCAAGGGAGGACACTTTAGAAAGCAGTGCTTCCTAAAACAAAGATGGAGGAAACTAGCAAGTTTAAAAATAAGTTTTACACAAACAAAAAGCTTACTTCATCTCTTATTTACATTTGTCAAAGTTTTATGTTAAAGCCATAAATAAACATGCAATGAGTTATTCCAACTTTACATCATGATCTTGTTCCAGTCTGTCTTTGTCAGCTGAAAACTTTTTACGTCTTTCTTCCAGAATTTTTTCCTTTAAATATGAGAAAAGAATAAATAATGTAGAGATTAGGAGTAGGATAGGCATCAAGATGTTAGCACTATAAGAAATACAAACCGGTGCATTATCAGGACTATAAACAAATTACAAGCCGAAACAGCAAAATAATCACTACGAGAAATACCAACACAAACCGTATAACATTGTTTAGCTTCTATTTCTATTTATATAAGAATATTTGAAATGGTATCAAATAATTCACTGATGTTACACAACGGCAAGTCCATGAATGAAATGTTCAAAACAGATTTATAGTTTAACATTCTATATTTCTATGTTAACATATTTGAGAACAAAAATAAGCATGGCTATTCCGCTACTAAAAATTTTTCCCTTGGATAGGGGGGCAAAATCTAGAAATGCTGGGAAACAGACATTTACAAAACGTAACTGAGCCACAGATTATGATTTTCAAATTCCATTCGAAAATTAGAAGAGTTAATGCAACATATTTCTACAAAAACATTACACCTTTAGATAGAAATTTAAAAAAAAAAACATGAAAACTCTATTTCTAAATGGTGGCCCACCTGTGATTCAATAGACTTCATTGACTTCTCCACATACGCAGCTCTTCTTTCTAGGTCAGATTTCTTCTCCTTCAGTTCCTCCTCCTGAGCAATGATAACAAAAAATGAACTATGCCAAAAGTCTACAAACAGGACTCCTAAAAAAACAAGACACCTGGGTCAAGGTCACACAGCTCACTCTATAGTAGGATCAGGCTGGTTTGAAATTCTAAAAGTTCTACGGTAACTTATAATAGTTAAGTGTGCTAATTTATCAAAAATGTATGTCGGTAACCTTTCCTGAATAGGATAACTAGGTAAATTTATGGAAGTAAATCTTCACTGAAACAAACAGGGAAATATTCAACATTTTCAAGATTTGCTGATTGGGGGGGTGGGGGGTGGGGGGGAGGGAAATGTAATTCCAATATATAAAAGTAATTTTCTGTTCAGGCCCAGAACTATTCAAATCATTTATCTGAAGCAAAGAAAGAATGAAAAATCAAGAGCAAAAAACAGCTGTAACTTATACTGACTTCATCGTCCAGCTGGTCCTGTAAACTTTCCTTCTTGATCTGGAAGTTTTGCTTCATCTCCCCAACCTCTCTGTCATGCTGTCGTTGCAGCTGATTCTTCTGTTGCTCTAGCTCTGTGGCCAGCTTGTCTTGTTCAGACTGTATCTGTCAGTGCACACAATGGATAGGTATGATAAGCCAATCATAACATTTTATACACTTAATAAGCCAATCTTCAAATTTGATACAGATAATTTAGTCATTATTTTATATTTGATACTGATTAGCCAATGTTTACATTAGTGTTGAGTCCACCAAATCATGTGGGAGTCTGACTTTAAAATGAACATATATCTATTGTTTCTTTACTTTCTGTAAATATATTATTTACTGTCAATTCGATTCATTTAAAAGATATGTATTTATTCAAAACTGACTGATTGCAAATATAACATTTTTAAAAAAATAAAGGTACATATAAATATGTACATGTGTATTAATTTACACCATGAATGGTTGAAAAGTATTTGTGGTTATAAAAAATTAGAAATCATTTGATGCAGTTCACTAACCATGAAAGGTTTGAGATATGGCTGACTGGCAATATTTAATAACTAGGATTGAACTTAATAAGACTGGCAGTATTTAATAACTAGGATTGAACTTAATAAGACTGGCAGTATTTAATAACTAGGAATGAACTTTATAAGACTGGCAGTATTTAATAACTAGGAATGAACTTTATAAGACTGGCAGTATTTAATAACTAGGAATGAACTTTATAAGACTGGTAGTATTTAATAACTAGGAATGAACTTTATAAGACTGGCAGTATTTAATAACTAGGAATGAACTTTATAAGACTGGCAGTATTTAATAACTAGGAATGAACTTTATAAGACTGGCAGTATTTAGTAGACTAGGAGCCAGAATGCATTGATCATTAGCCCTCAAAATATAGAAGAAGATGAGGCATCAAGTTAACTGGTAGTATTAATTACTAGGATAACTAGGTATGAACTTATAAGAAATGAAACGTGTGCTAACTTTAACTTTAAATTCCTCTTTAAGTTTGCGCAACTGTTCCTCGTGTTCCCTGCGCAGGGCTGTAAGCTGCGCCTGATGTTCTTGTTTTAGTTCAGCCCTGCGTTCACTCAGAACATCATCCAGCTGAAAGATGACAAGAAATTTTCATAATTTAATGTCAGGAATAAAAAGAATTAAGGGTAATTTACAATATATTTTTACTACAATAAAAAAAAGGTATCTTTTATTGAGCTTTCCATTTCGTCTCTAGTATGTTCACTTTCATTATAAATAATTTTATCTGTCTTAGTTTTTTTATCTAAATATTTTACAAAATCTTTGTATGCAAGAACATTTTTGGAAATCTGACAATGAAGTTTTTAGCTCAATAAGTTACATTTTGACAGGCTCTGATACACATACCTACTATTCCACAAAACTCAAACAGCTTATGTAAGACACACATTTTTATAATCACCAGATGTAACAATCTGACAATCTAAGAATCAACTCTTCTAATATTAACTCCGATCCACTATTTACAATAAAACACCCCAGACATTCATATATGCTTTAAAAAAAATGATAGGGTGATAAATACTTTAATCTATTTCTTTTTTTTTTTTAAATTAACTTCTCAATAAAAAAAAAAGGTCCCCATCTCAATCAACAAAACAGGTCCCCATCTCAATCAAAAAAACAGGCCCCCACCTAAATCAACAAAATCTCAATCAACAAAACAGGTCCCCATCTCAATCAACAAAACAGGTCCCCATCTCAATCAGCAAAACAGGTCCCCATCTCAATCAGCAAAACAGGTCCCCATCTCAATCAGCAAAACAGGTCCCCATCTCAATCAACAAAACAGGTCCCCATCTCAATCAACAAAACAGCTCCCCATCTCAATCAACAAAACAGGTCCCCATCTCAATCAACAAAACAGCTCCCCATCTCAATCAACAAAACAGGTCCCCATCTCAATCAACAAAACAGGTCCCCATCTCAATCAACAAAACAGGTCCCCATCTCAATCAACAAAACAGCGCCCCATCTCAATCAACAAAACAGCTCCCCATCTCAATCAACAAAACAGCTCCCCAGTTATTCTTACTCCTCGCTCCAAGTCATTGATGGCTTTCTGTCTTTTCCTGGCAGCCTCCAGGTCGTTTTCTTCTTGCTGTCTCTCAGCTTCATGGAGGGTGTTTAGTTCTTCTCTCAACTTCACCATTTGCTGAATGGGTGGACAGAATGACCACAAATTAACACTAAATTCAAGAGAAATCTCAACTAAATAATTATATATACATGTCATTGCTTAAATCCAACCCCTTAACTGTTAAAAAATGTTGCTATGAATGAGACACTGATTTTTCAATCAAAGAATACAAAACGGGGTGGCTAGGGAAAAAATAGACATGTTATGTTTTATGATAAAAATGATAAATTGCTGTTAAATTTAAACAGAAAGAATTAAGTAAAAGGATTTTAAAGGTGTGATAAACATTCCAGTCTCGGTTTTTACACCTGTGGTCCTTGACTGTTCATGTTGTTTTAGATTGCCATGTTCAGGGAAAGTTAGAAATCTCAAACGACAACATGCTTTCAATGAAGTAATACAGCCATTTCAAACGTGTGGCCCTTTCAGTAATGTACAGTATATTTCCAACAGGTTGGGGATCACTGATCCAACAAGTAACATGATACTAAAGCATATCCGTCTCACAAAGCTGACTGTGAAAAATTCAAAGATTCTCACCTGTCTATGAGTCTCAGCCAGTTCATTCCTCAGACTGTCCTGTCTATCTCTATGTCTCTTCTCCAAGTCTTCCCTCAACCTCTCTATATCTGTGCCATGTTTGCTGCGCAATGACTCCAGCTGTATTCTTTCCTCGTCCTGCAGCTTTGCTTTCTCTGACGCCACTGAAGCTTCAACCTGTTGTTTGTAAACAATACCAGTAGTGGGACTGAAGCTTTATATGAAACATGGAATGACATTTTGGTGTAGAGATTTTTAAGAATAACATTCATAAAGCATAAGTGGTAAAGATTTTCATAAAAAATATTCCTTTTTTAAAGATAACTTAAGACAGATGTTTGGACAATGTCTCTAAAGCTCACCTGTTTGGACAACTTCTCTAAAGCTCACCTGTTTGGAAAACTTCTCTAAAGCTCACCTGTTTGGACAACTTCTCTAAAGCTCACCTGTTTGGACAACTTCTCTAAAGCTCACCTGTTTGGACAACTTCTCTAAAGCCTTTCTCTTCTCCTCCTCCAGTTTGTCCTGCTCCTCCCTCTGTAAGGCACCGACTTCATCCCTGAGTTTCTGTAGTGCTTTTTCCATCTGTTCCCTGTGGTCACATGAAATTTTACATGAGGCACANTTCTCTAAAGCTCACCTGTTTGGACAACTTCTCTAAAGCTCACCTGTTTGGACAACTTCTCTAAAGCTCACCTGTTTGGACAACTTCTCTAAAGCCTTTCTCTTCTCCTCCTCCAGTTTGTCCTGCTCCTCCCTCTGTAAGGCACCGACTTCATCCCTGAGTTTCTGTAGTGCTTTTTCCATCTGTTCCCTGTGGTCACATGAAATTTTACATGAGGCACATTATAGATGTGCTCTTTGCATTACTTTAAAAAATTTTTTTGCTCAATTGTATTATTCTCTAACATCTTTTAATACACTAGGAATATTTGACTGCATTCTACAGTTTCAAACCTAAAATTTCGTTTTATATTCATGTAAAAGAGAAAAAAATTATTTAACCCACAAAAATCCTTTCACTTAAAAGATTTGTACCGTTAATTATTGTTCTGCACAATTAAATACAGACCATAATTACTGGGGCAATTCTTTTAATTAACAACATCATTTTGTAAACTGGATTTAAAAGTTTCTACTTTCCTAATAAAATATCACACATAAACATCAGTCACCAGCACTTAGACATGGCAGTTACTTACAGACAACTGTGTGAGTTACTTAATGCATTCCATAGCAGGATGTCAGATGTGATGCAAGAATGCAATAAATACAGCCAAGACATATTTAACATTTCCTATGAGTTTTAACAGGGACACTGATGGCACATTTAACATATGGCAGCTTCAAGAGGGTTGTTAGTGGCTACAGAAAATGTAAGGTTACCAGACGATTCGGGACTATACAGTGTTGATGAGACCTGCATGCATCAGCTGTTATGTTCTCTATTCCATGTTATGTTTGTTACTACTATGTCAAATTCCAAAAGTGAGCCAAAGCTTTCGAGTTTATTTACAGACCAGATGAGTAAAATGGTTGTTTTTAATTAACAACTTTTGATTTCATATCCTTAAAGGCAATTAAAAGAACTAGGACTTAGTGGATATTTCTTTAATAAAAGAAAAAAGTGAGGAAATTAATGAAAAATGCAAAAGGAAGTTTAAGCATTGAAATGAATTAACTTTACACAAAGTAAAAAAATTGTTTTTTAAAAAAGAAATGAAATATAGTTGAAATTAATGTGTTATAATTAGTTATGGGAAATAAGCGCACAAAAAAGCAAGCTCAGAAACAAAATGAAACAAAACTGATAAAAGGGGTGGTTAAGCGCGACAACACCATGCAGTATTTCACGTAAATCAACATCAAACGGGGCTTGGCTTTACCGCAGCTCTTTCTCTTTTTGGGCATAAATGGTGTTGTGTTGGCTGCGGAGCTGGGCTAAATCTAGTTCCTGAGATTTTGTTAACTGAGTTTCTTCCTGGGCTTTCGCCAAGTTGAGCTCTTCTTGCAACTTGCTATTAACCAATAGACAAAACATGTTGGTCAAATAACAAAATCAAATCAATTAAAATAGCAAGGATACCCAAAAAAGTCTTACCGGTACTTGAAAAAAAAAAAAGGTTTTTTATTCCATTTAAGTTAAATTATCTTTAGAGAAACTGCACACACAAAAATTCAATAACATCGTGCACGAATATTCTCTTATATCAATTTTCCTGTTCTCATCAATTATTTCTAAACGTGGCAGATGGAGCTAAAAGGTAAGTGGAATGTTCATGAATATGAGGTTTATAAAGATATAGTAACCAAAGAATAGAGAACTTTAATGAGACACAAAAACTAATAAAGGGTACAAATCTTTTATCAGCATTGAGAACCTTTGCTGCAAGGTTGGTTTTATGTTGTGTGTTTTTTTTGTTGTTGTTGCTAAATAGTTCTCATGAGGCACAGTTGAAAATGAAACAGAAAACTGAGTACAAACTGTTACCGTGATGCCTGACTGCTAAATATTCTAGATGAGGCAAATATTCAACATGCTATAAAAATATGAAATTCCCCCAAAGAAAAATGACAAAGAAAAGGTGGAAGACAATCATCTCTCAGCCACATCACCAGTTCCCATACACCATAAATAATAATCTAAAAGCAACTTTAAGATATTTACCTGGTCATTTAAAATATTTACCGATTAAAAAATGGTACAAATAAAGTTGTAAGAAATTTTTAAATAGCTTTTTATCTGTTTTTCTTTAATTAAATATTTTCAAAGACTTGGCAATCAATGAAAAAAATGTATAGAATTTTTGAAAATCTTATGCAATTAATTGTATATTTTAAAACTTATTGCTCTTATGTTGTGAAGCTTTATAATGCAATTCCATTTATTCTAAAGATACATCTAGATCAGGCCTGAACAACATACAGCCCGTGAGGTAACGAAATATTCTTTATTCTTATTATTTTCTTAATAGCTATCCTATTTTATTTTGGCCCGCACAAGTTTTTCATCAAGTATTACGGCCCGCCTTACATTTTGAGTTGTGCAGGTCTGAACTAGATATGAAAATATTTTGAAATATGTTTTGTATGACTGAAGCTTTTTTTTTTTTTTTTAAACCAAATCAATACTTAAGTAGTTCAGTTTGAAAGACTAGACTCTAATATAGTTTTTTTTTTAAAACAAATTTTTTTTTAAACCAAATCAATAATTAAGTAGTTCAGTTTGAAAGACTAGACTCTAATATAGTTGTTTTTTTTTAAACCAAATCAATAATTAAGTAGTTCAGTTTGAAAGACTAGACTCTAATATAGTTGTTTTTTTTTAAACCAAATCAATAATTAAGTAGTTCAGTTTGAAAGACTAGACTCTAATATAGTTGTTTTTTTTTAAACCAAATCAATAATTAAGTAGTTCAGTTTGAAAGACTAGACTCTAATATAGTTGTTTTTTTTTAAACCAAATCAATAATTAAGTAGTTCAGTTTGAAAGACTAGACTCTAATATAGTTTTTTTTTTAAATGTCTTAAAAGTGAGGAAACAATTTGAACCACAACATGTATAATTATAATGATCTACATTGAAAAAACTATTTTGTTTCTACTTTTTAGCTGTTAAAATAGTAAAGAAAGTCAAAAATGGGAAATGTAGTTACTTTAGAATAAAATGTTTGTTATTTTGTTCAAAAGGATATTTAAATTCAGGATTATTTACAAATTAAATTTTAAATAACAAATAGCTAAGCAAATATAATATGATTGTTAAAAACCATTCTAAGAGCTCAGAACTTAATATAAAGCAAAGTTCCTTATTAAATAAATATATATATACATATAAAATGTAAGAATTCTTTCTAGTCTATCTAATTAAAAATTATAAAAAAAAATTTTTTTTTACCTACTTTTAAAAAGAAGAAAATGAAAAAAGGATCATATGTTGATAAAGAGCAAGCTTGATATGTAGAATTTCTCACCTGATGACATTTTTCTTTTCAGCCCTGATTTTTCTTTCTTCTTCTTCTGCCTCCCTCTTGATCTCATCCTTGATTTTTTTCAGCCTCCGTTCTTTATCCTATTTTTTTTTAAAATGGATTTCACTTCAAAGCTTAGTTTAATCATGCATACCAAAATGACATTAAGTAGCTTTCATAAATTTCTTTGTAAACAAATTGTAAGCATGTTACTTGGTGATAATTATTAATTCAATAGGTCTAATGGTAAATATCTTTTAACAAATGTGACATCATGTTGTCAAAAATGGTAATAACTAAATTATGACAGAAAAATAAAAAGTTCATGTTATAAAAAGGAAATCACTCTGTCATGGAAACACATTTGAGGCAAGTAATAAATCAAGTTATATATAGGCATGAGCTGATTATATTTTCCTACACTTGTGACAATCAGATTTTCTAAGGCTCCAGACTGACATTTCAAATTAATAATCTCATTCTGTTAGTTTACAAACCTCTAAAAGTTCTAATTTAGCATTCTCCAATTCTCTCTCTAACTTTTCTTGCATCTCTTGCAGAGCCCTCTCATTGGCTGAAGAGATTTTGAACTCTTCATCTCTAAGGAATTGCTCTTGGGCTCTTCTGTGAAAAGTAACAATTTTAAATTTAAAAATCATCATAGGATGTTATATCCTGAAACATAATTAAATAATGAGATTTACCCCCCAGTTTTATACAAGAGTTTTCTGATTTGTAACAACTGTTTCATTTCTGTTTTAAATATAAATAAGAACATTACCAAAGTTATATATATTTTTAAAAAGATGCACTATTTGTGGAAAAAATTATGTAAATATTTGTTTCAGAACATTAAAAATTCCTTTCTCTAAAAAAAATGTTTTCTAACCTCTCGGCAGAAGAGGCAGCTAGATCAGCTTTCCTTCGTCTCTCTGTATCTAGGTCGAGTGGTGAAATTTTACCTCTTGGTGACTCATCCCTAGCCGTGGATTTAAGTGATAAGGTGCCATCTATGTCCTATGAAAGGTACACCATAAAAAACATTACAACTATTGATTGTAATTCAAATATTATTATATTAAAGAATCATTTATTTCAAATGTGATAGCCACCAAAGGCTGATAAACAGAGCTCAATAATATCCCAATTAATGTTGTTAACAACTGCTTTAAAAGCCAGAGGAATATGTAGTTTTTATAATGTCGTGCTAGATGTGCTTATAATGTTGTGCTGATATTTGGAATTTGATATTTTAATTCATGTTTAATTAGTTTTTAAAAATTTTTAAAACGCTAAAAAATTATTTTCAGTGAAAGGACATCTTGTCAGGGTTCCATTAAAAAAAAACCAAAGTACACATATCTATTGTAAATTTATTTCAGCATTTCATTAATAAAGACTAGTCTTAATAAATAGGGTTAACAAAGTGTGGAGAAAATGCAGGAAATCATTGAATTAGGTATGAAGAAGCTTGAGGCGAAAGAACAGGACAAGAAATAGAGAAAGTTTTGGCTGAAAGCAGACAGGACTAAACAAGAAGCAAAAAAGTAATAGAAATGGAGCAAATGCACAAAGTCATGTAAATATTATTTATATATTAAAAAAACTGTTATTAAATTATTCTAATGACGATTAAAGATCCACATTTTTTTACAAAAATGTTATTTTATTTAATAAGTGTGCGAACTTTGTTAAGGAAGTGGTGTGGATTTTTCCCTATTATACTAAGTAATAAACCATTTCAGAAGTTTGCTGTCATGAACAGAACTAGTAATTGTACAAATTATAGATCTTTCAAAACAGAATGTTGCTACAGAAAATTAAGTTAATTATAAATATTCAATAAAAAAAAAATTCATATCAAGATGTCATAAAAAATTATTAATGGTTAAGAAAAATGTATTATTATGGGTACAAGTAATCAAGCTCTCTATGATATATTAATCTTACCTGGCCTAAACTACTTGCTCCTCTGGTTATCTATAGGTTAATGTGCAATAAAAATTTAGACAAAAAATGTTGATAATAATAAATAAAAATTAATTTTTATAAACATTAGAAAAAGAGAGATATGGTCTTTTGCAAAATTGAAATAATTGGAGTGTTGAGATTTAAAAAAAAAAAAAAAAAAAAAAAAAAAATTTTTTATAAGAAAAAAAAAAAAAAAATAAAAAAAAAAAAAAAAAAAAAAAAAAAAAAAATAAAAAAAAAAAATTAAAAAAAAAAAAAAAAAAATAATTTTTTAAAAAAATAAAAAAAAAAAAAAATTGGTTTTTTAAAAAAAAAAAAAAAATGGAGGTTTAGAATTAAAAAAAAAAAAAAAAAAAAAAAAAAAAATGTCTTATCAGATCATAATAAAAAAAAAAAAAAAAAAAAAAAAAGTCTTAACAAATCATAAAAGAATATTTTAAATAATGTAAAGTCAGTTAAAAATCAAAAACTTTACATCACATAGGTTATTCACACAAGGCAAAAAAAATTCTTCTAAAGTCTTAAATAAATGTTCAATTTGTTAATTTTTTTAGGCTTGCATGCTGAAAAAACTATGTGCAACTAAACTTCAGACATGTAGAAAAAAAAGCATATTCTACATTTAAAAAATATGCAAAGGCACAATAAATATTCTGTAACAATTTTTTAATGCAATGTACAAATTTCTCTAATCTAGCACTGAAAATGAACAAGGATTTAAAATAAAACTTCATCATAGAAACATACAAGCATACAAAGTTTGCCAGAGCTGCTTTGAATAATTTTCATATCACACTAACAATTTGTTACACCCCGAAAAATTGAGAATTTAGTCATGACTTTGAGGTTTAATTATTTTAAATTTAAATATCCCTTTTTACTCTACTGAAAAAAACACACCACAGTGTGTTAGCTCAGTGTAAAAAAACAAGTCACTTTTTAGTTAATATACAAAAAAAAAAAAGACTTTTTTTTTACAAAACTCACACTTTTTTTTGAGTTGTGATGGGAAATAGCACAATGAAGCAGAAATAAATTAAAGACAAAGGAATGAATGTTTATTTCAAAGTTACCTTTTCAAGAGAACCACGTAGTCCAGGCTCCAGGTTCTCAAACTCCATCAATTTCTCTGAGAGATTTTTGTCCAGACCAAAATCCTATTTAAAAAAAATAATGAAAGAAGCTTTAACAAATGAATAATTAAGTATCCAAGTTACATATTGAGGTGGGGGCTGGAGCCTGGGCTCTTAAAAGCCCCGGCTATTACTGTGGTGACATGCTCCAACTGTTGGGCTGCACCATTTAACATCTGAACAAAGGAATCTCCCCCACTCTAGCCTCCCTAACATCTGACTTGGGGCACAAAATCAACAGGTGTGTTACCGTTTTCTTGGGCCAAAAATAGAAACAAATTTTATTGAGCAATTGGCTCACAAAGCTCCCCGTAAATCCCAGTATTTTTCAAAGAGTTGTATTCTTCATACATAGATGAGAAGCAGAGAGCTGATACCTTAGTTCACTTTAAATGCCATGACTACAAAATCCCTGGCCAAAAATGCAGGCTGATCAATTTTTTCAAAATTTTACTTACTACTTCTTTGTTATAGTCATTGCTGTCTTCACTTTCAGAGTCATCCTTGACCTTGACATTATCATCTGAATCTGACTCTGAATCCTGTTAGGATTGAACAATTAAATGTGAAACTTATGAACCGAATTGAAAAAAAAACTACCTCTAAATTTTATTTTATCAGCTGGACTCTAAATTTGTTTATTTTAGACTATACTTCCCCCCCACTTCCTTTCTTTTGTGTTTTTTCAGTTAGTAGGGTAATATTATGTATATTTTAACTCTAAAGGTGCGGAGCAACGCACAGTGCATACATCCGTTATTCTCAAAAGCACTGACCAATGTGTTTCGTGTTATTTCAATATCATGTTTGTTGGTTAAACTTTTTAAGAGCTATTTTTAAATAAGACTTTTTACACAGAAGAGTGGTACTTCATTGTTTATAAGCAAAACAAAGGTTTCTTTGTTGTAATTTGAAGCATTATTTTATGATTTTCTTTGCACTATTTTTTTTCTACTGTTGCTATGGCTACTCTAGGCCCTAGTAGGTGAGTAAGTTTCCTAAACGATTAACAGCTCAAAAAGCTTTGGAATCGTTTTAAACTATTTCTTTTGATAGTGAAGATCATTTATATTTAGATCCATCGCATGATTCCAATAGTAACAGTTTTAGAGGATTTGAGTTATAGAAGTGGAGATAAAATGGTTTAGCATAAAATGTTTTCACATTTTATGGTTCTTTTCTGTAACTTATTTTATTTAAACTGAAGAAAGAAGTTTACAAATATATAGTCCTTTCAATTAACTTTCATTTGATACCAAGTTTAGTCTTATAAACCAAAATATAACCTTTTACATATTTGTTAATAAACCCAACCTCTCACTTATTTTGCTCTTTGAAATAAATGTAAATTTTTTTCTATAAAAAAAATTGTGCAGCGAAAGAGCTAAAATAGTGTACTTTGTGTATAGCTAATAATGGCTTGTAGGTGAAATGTTTTTACATGGATCATATCTAAAATAGTGTACTTTGTGTATAGCTAATAATGGCTTGTAGGTGAAATGTTTTTACATGGATCATATCTAAAATAGTGTACTTTGTGTATAGCTAATAATGGCTTGTAGGTGAAATGTTTTTACATGGATCATATCTAAAATAGTGTACTTTGTGTATAGCTAATAATGGCTTGTAGGTGAAATGTTTTTACATGGATCATATCTAAAATAGTGTACTTTGTGTATAGCTAATAATGGCTTGTAGGTGAAATGTTTTTACATGGATCATATCTAAAATAGTGTACTTTGTGTATAGCTAATAATGGCTTGTAGGTGAAATGTTTTTACATGGATCATATCTATTTCTTTAAAGCTTCACTATACTGCTTACTAACACTCATTGTTTGTTTCAGAGATTTACAGTAGTCTACTTTTATAATTGACTTATTTCTCAATGAAATAGATCCAAATCCCTATTGGCCTACCTCATATCCTAAAGCAGCCATATCTTGTACATTAAAACCAAGTCCTGGCCGACTGTTTTCCTAAAATAAAATATAATTTTATTGTCATTTTCTAAAAATAGATTTCATTTTATACTCACATTCTAATAGAATAACTTTTTACTGCTACAAACTACCTAATGATAATTTGAACATGTCAATCTATGTTAAACATTATGCTTATGTTCAGCTCTATCAGGGCAAATTCTTTATCTTAAAGCTAGGACCAAAAGATATAAAAATTATTTTTTCCCCAGTCTGTACGAATTTACCAGCGTGCTCCCCAGCAATTACCAAAACTAAATGATCACTAATTAAGTCATTATTGTCATATGAGGAGTTCATATATGGCTAAAGCTTATGCTATAGAAATACTTTTGATGTCACGCGTTTAAATTGTTGTAACTGTAAAATGTTATCTTCATTAACAAAATGTATTTATTGATGTGGTGAAAATGAATAATTGCAATGCAATTTTTTTTAAAAATCTATTTATTAGGATCAATATAGAAACTTATCTTATCGTATATTTCTTAATATCTGTTTACACCAAACTACTCCACAAACATTGACCATTTTAAAGCCTATATCTATAAGTTTAAAACTATATCTTCAGAAATACAATCTAAGTTTAAAAAAAAAAAAATTGAGTATGTAGTCATTTTTTAAAAAATAATTTAAAAATCATAAACAATTTGGTTATTTTAAAGATGCTGATAAAGGTAAACCTTTGCATTTCATAGTCCACAACTTCAATCAAAACAGATACTATAAGTAAGTAAACATTTTGAAATAATCCAAAGGAAAATAAATTCCCCCTTTAAGCCCCAATTAATGAAAAATGGTTTTCAACTTTTCTTTCAACATACTCACATCATCCTCATCCTCGTAATCCCCTGAGTAGACTGGTATTGTTACACTACTTGTTACATTTAAACTTTTATTATACGATCCACTTGTTGTATTGAAACTACCACGTATCTAAATAACCAAAAATTAGATTTATAGAAATTTACAAGTCAAAATAATTTTCCTAATCCAAAAAAGAGAAATTTTAACCTAAATATCAAACTATCCAAAGTGAATATCTAGAGTAGATTTTATATAAACTTACAAGTCTAAAAGTTTGCAAGACATACTAAAAGAACTACTTCAAAGGTTATAATATAAGAATATTAGTTTTTGTTATTAACAATTTTCTTAATTTAATCATTGTACAGACTGTCATTATGGATAGTGTAAAAAATTGTATGTGGCATATTTACTGGTTGGGAATTTCCAGCTGAGTCTCTCAGCAGTGACATTCCTCCCAAACTATCTCCAGACTTGACTGGACCCAGTGGTCCAGGGTTTCCTTTGTGCAACTTTGGTGTCCCAACACTTGGCTCTGCTTTCAACAATAGTGGATTTAGCTGTGACAACTGATCAAAAATGGAGAAAACACATTTACATAACAATTCAAGAACCAGATGAAGTGAATTCCATGACTTTTATCAATGTGTTTATTTCACATTGTTTTCAAATCTACAGAGATTTAAACGTTCTACTTACTTTTGTTCCAGGTGCCTTTGTTAATGGGCCTAGATCATCGCCTCCTCCACTGCCTCCCATGCTAGAAGTTGTGAGGGATGCACCTCCCTTCTTTTTCTTGGTGTCTTCTTTAACTTTGGTCTTTTTCTTATTTCCTGAAAAGTGATTTTGAACAGTCTATTACTGCAGTACACCAAATATGAATTTCCACATTCAATATGTGCACCAAACTATCTCTATCCTTGACTATCGAGCACAACCCTTAATAAAAATTTTAAAATGAAGAATTTATTCATTACGCCTGACAAGATTAAGAAGAAATTGTGGCATATTTAGATGTGGTTGCAATCTAAAACATCTTCTCCTTCTGACTGGACATACAAGAAAAACACACAATAATTTTGCAGATCAAAATAATTAATTGAATTAACTTCAATTTTAGCCAAGAGACTAACTTCTATTTAGTAATATCAAGACTCTTGTACTTCTTGTACATAAACCTCCTTCTCTTTTTTTTTTAGAACAGCCACCTGAGCTTAAGATCTAAATGACCCAACATTAATGTCGCTCTACTTACTGCAGAGGAAGACCGCATAGCTATATTCCTAGAGGTTGGCTTTTCTGTCAAAATGTGTAAATTCCAAAACCGTGGATTGGAGTTCAATTTCAAACCTAGACAAACTAAAAACAATACCAGCACCCCGGTGGATGGGACTCATTAACCTTGGAAGGAAACTCATCTAAGAGAAGGCAAACTTTAAATTCAAACCCGGAGAAGGAGTCCCATAGGCGGTATGACACTGACACAATGAAAATTCATGCAACTTCTACAACGTCGAACTCTTAAAAGAGCACAATGAACACATGAAACAATGATGGTCATACACTGTTGCCGATTCAATCTCCCAGTTGTCTTGGCCAAGTCTTGTCATTGGATAAAAATAGGAAAAGACAAGAGATTGAGGCAGACAAATTGTGCACCTCTCCCCCACTTTAAACAAAATAAAGGTCAAGTTAACTCAACTAGAATGTAGCCTTAGTCATTTGGGCATGCGAAGTACAAACAATAATTCCTATTATCACCACTTCAATGTAAAACCAAACTCTTTGGAAACAACATTCCATTCAAGCATCTCGGACCTATATTATCAATGACATGCATTCACCCCACTCCAATGAGCAACATCTAACAAAATGAAATCTTAACGACATCAAATGTCTTAATTAGAGTTTATTGTGTGTATATTCTCGTAGCAATATTGTTTTCCAAGTTAATTCTTGCTTGAACTCAGTTACCTAAATTCTTATCTGGAGAGCCCTTCTTTCTCTCTTCTGCCACCATGTTTTTGTAGAACTCATCACAAGGGTGATCCCATATGCTGTCTCCAGTGGCAAAGTTGAAGTAGTATACATCACCAGATGGTGCTTGGCTAAAGATGGAATAAAAGAAATGATGCACTTTTAGTCTGTTTGTAAGGAAAAAGCATGTTTAAAAAGAATATAATGGAGTTGTAAATATAATGCTCTGTCTTAAAAATCTTAGGCTTTGGAAAAATGTAAGAATAGTTTAATCAGCCTAAAATAAAGAGCATTAATTTTAATTGTTAAACGAGAAAAAAGGGGAAGGCCATCATATAAGTATAAATTAAATTTACATAATATAGATATACATGTATCTTACCTAAAAATGAAAGAAATGAATAAGAATTGGCGCAAGTCCCTGATAAAAACTATGTTCAGAAGAACAGAGAGGACGTGAAAGTAAGTAAACTTTAAAAACCAAACAGAAAAAAGATATTGCAGCTATGTAAAATTGTGAATTTGGTGTATACTGTATGGAGTCAACATACCAAATCTTACTATCAATTTATTTTCCATGTAAATTCTATCAGATGTATTACTTGCATAAAATATACCAGTAACTGCAATGTCTAAAATTCCATTACGGTTCGTGCCATTGAAATGTTTGGAAACTGAATGATCATTATTAAAGCTGAACTAATATTGTTTTTTTAAACAAAATGTTTTTGTCTGATTAAATCTACTTGAAAGCTTTATTGTAGTCTTAACACTCGTATAATTAGTTAATTAAAACTAATTACCATGGCTTCCAATTGTCAGGAAGGGGTGCATTGATTCCCTCTCTAGCAATCCACAAAAGATGCTGTTCATTGTCAATATCAATTCCAATCGATGCTGCGTACTCAATAATTTCTGAAAAGAAAGATATCAAGAGTTTATAGTACTACTCATTGCTTGTGACCTGTCTTTTCAGCATAAAAATTATCATTTCTTATTCTTATCCCCACAGTTGAAATGACATAATCATTTGACTTCTTATGCCCTTGCAATGCTATAATAAAGGATATTGTAAAGGATTAAATGAATTCTGGCCTAAATATACTATACCATATACTATAAATACTGAAATATTTTAGAAAAAATCAAAGATTAAATGGCTGCTATAATATGCCACATTGGTTAACAGCTTGTGTCAAACACTACAGACAGCCCAACAATTAGAATGGATATTCTGAATTTAATAGTTAATAAACAGCATGTCTCAATGTTCGAAATAAACTCAATAGTTATTACTGCTACAAAATTAAGTGTGCAACCATTTTAAGACTATGTGATGTAGACAATAATGAAAGTCTATGCTTCACTCATTAAAGGTTTATTTAAAAATGAAAGAGATGCTATACAACTTATATTTTGTGTTTCATAATTATATTTATAACCAGTCTAAAAAGATCAACCCCACTATTCCAACAGTCCACGAAATGGCTTGACCTTTCAAAAGATTTTCTTATGAAATATACCACACATTATCGTTTGAGAGATAAGGCACCCTAGCTCTTCAGTAAAACTGATTCCTGTCATAATTAATAGGTTAATTATGTATTTGTAACCATACCACTTTCTGTTGGTTCATAGTTTTCGTCATAGTCCTCTTCAAGGATCATTTGGTCATTTACCATCATCTTTGCTGGTTTCTGGCATGAACTTTCAGATACTAAAATATCATTGAAGAGTTTGACAGGTTAACACATATTTTAAATGTAGCAGGAAAAATAAAATATCTATTAAGTCAGCAATTAACTGAGTTATGGAAACCCAACAGTGAAATTCAGAAAGTATTATCTTTAACATAGAATGATCTAAATGTCCTCTAAATATAATTTTATTGTCTTAAATATAATCAAATTGGGATAAATTATCTAATAAATCTCAGTAGTCATATGTTTCGAATAAATCATTAATATCTCTTGACTGTATAGGCACTAGTGTTCTTCATGTTGCTTCTTGATTTTTGTAGTTTTACCCCTTTATTTTTTTTATATGTCATAGTTGTGTAATACTAGACTCCACATTCTTGCTTAAGTTGGATGATATTGAAACTTGAAAGGGGTATACTGCATGTTAATGATAATTTATTTAGGTACAAAATAAAACCACTGATCAATGTTATTAGAACTGAATAAGAGTTAGAGGACTAGGTGTGAAGGCTATTAGCAGCAAATGTGCTTGCATGTTTCTGAATGGTGTTTCGCCATTGTAGAATGTCAGCAAGCTCACTTGCCAGGGCATTAGAAAGAACTCAAATAGATATTCTGGGAAAAATCCCTGGAGACCTAATTAAACCTGGCACAGAAAATATCTTGACAATAGAAAATAATCTGCAGGTAACAAACCTAACCCTACAGATAGCTCCCACAGAAACATCTGAAATGCAGTAGAGGTGCACCTGATCATTGCTACAGAGTAAGAGGTTGGATAAGGAATAAGTTAATGAGCTCATCCTAAAAAACTGTTTTAAATTAGTAAAAAGTATGCCTTCTGACTTTAAAATTACTTTGTGACACTGTCTAATCTCATGTAGAGTGGCTGACCTCCCATAGGGAGCTTCTCCAGGTGGCGGATAGGGGGTCTCCCACCAGGTATGGTGGGCACTGAAGAAAATAAAATACACAGGGTGGATCAAAGCCAGCAACTGCAGCCTTGTAGTTGATAAAGTGATTTACAAAGGCGAGGGCCCTGACCCAAAACAAAGGCAGCTACCCCGAGAGCTGTAAGGGGCATCCCCCCCAGACAATTGTGTGCACGGCTGATGACCCTGTCACTTTATAATTCCATTGATTTTGCTGGCATCTGTCCGTCACAATATGACGATGATGTAGATTTTGCAAGACCAAATCCACAAGGCCTGGGATTATCCTTTTAGGATTATAAGCTGGTTCCCAACAGCAAATCACCTCTCTCCATGCCCTTGGATAAGCCAAGGGAACATCAAGTGGATGATACAGCTTGGCACCAGTGGCGTTGCAGGAGTTGTCGGAATGTTTCATTGTACCAATGTTATCCGCCTACAAGACTCCATCTCCGGGTTTGAATTCAGAGTTTTGTTCTCCATTGTTATGAAGGCTAAATCACAAACAAACACTGGACTGATATTTATAGATTTTGACCTATGCCTAGACAAGGACATAATTTATTTTTGATGACCTGAAATGTTCTGAGTCTTCATAGAGCAGGAGCGCTTGCCAGCCTCAGTGACAAATTGGTAGGTTATATAATCACTGTTGCTGTACTGAAGGATGGAAAGACTCACATATACTAAGTAAGACTCAGATATACTATGTAAGACTGGGATATACTAAGGGCTATACAATATTCTATAGGGGAAACAACACTAACCCCTTAGGGAAAAGGGATTGCAGTCAAAAGACAGAAAATAAATGCAATCATTGGGTTCAAACCAGTGAGTGAAAGACAAAGTTCCATAAGGATAAGAGGAAATATGTTTAACATTATGTTATCTAAGCAAACTATTTATGAAATAGTTGGAAGAATATTTGATGAGGCACCACGCCATAATACCAAAACAGTTCTTGGGAGATTTCAACCCAAAAACCGGAAAAGACCCTGTTTACATACCAATTATGAGCAAGGAAATTCTGCATGGTGACAGCAGTGACAATCGAGCATGTCTAATAGACTTCAATACAGGAAAAGTAATGATGATCAGCAGCAAAATATTCCAACACAAACAAATGCATAAAGCGATATGGATATCCCCAGATGGATTGACCTGAAATCATATAGATCACAGTCATTGACCGGAGATATGGCAACAACTTACTAGGATGTATGAAGCTTTAGAGGGGCAGAAGTAGACTCAGACTTGTAAAAATTAAATGTAAACAAAGAATTTGCAACATCACTAATAACAAAATGAAAGAAATAAAACAGTAAAATCAATAGCTAGAAGTTAAACAGAGACCCAAAAAATTACTGAGGAATATCAACTAAAGATTCATACTACATCATACTCAACTAGAATTATTCAAAAGAGAAATGGCAACAACATAAATATAAATGAGCAACGGCGAAAAAATTAATCAAATTGATAAAAGTGTAACACAGGCTATAATAGGATTTAAACAGACAGGGAAAAGAACAAGATGGTATGTCGCAGATTGCAGAGAACTTATAGAAGGATGAACAAAGACCAAGTCTCGGCTAATGGTGTTTCAGAGAGAGACAAGAAGAACATGGCAAATGTGTAATGAAACAAAATTGACTATGATGGATAGAGATTCCATAAAAACCAAGAGAAATATACATTTTTTGAAGACCCACCCTTAGTTGAACAAATTTAAAAAGTCAGATTGCGAAGGAGAGGACAACCTTGAAATGAAGTTGTAGAACAGCAAAAAAGAGCTACAGTCAGAAACTTGAGGGCAGAGGGCTCACCAACTGACCAAGACTGAGATGGATTGATGATGTAGAGAAGGACTTACATCAGCTGGGGGTCAGAGCATGGAGGCAGAAAGCCATAGGTCTATCCCAGTGGAAGAATGTGGTGGAGCAGGCCAGGTCCCTACATGGACTGTAGCACCACTGAAGATGATGACAGGGTTTGCAGAGCAAGCAAAAGTGATTAAAAGAACAGAGGAGGTACTGGCTTTTAAATATATTAAAATTTGTATTTAATGTTTTAATTTATTCATTTTCATTTTGGTAATTTGTCACAAGTTCATTGTATAAGTTCTACAGTTCTCTGTAATTTTAAACAAATAATTATAAGTCATATTTCTTTCCAATCTTAAAATGCCATGTTACGTTTGATTTCCGTAGGAGGTGCAATACTTATTCAAACAATTCATAGGGGATAACAAACTTAATAAAAAAAATTTTGGAAGTACAGAGTATATAAAAAAAGTTTAGGAAATCCTATGCCTGTACTAGAGCCTAGACTAGACTCCGCAAATGTAAGTAACAAATAATACAGACAAGGTATTTTTTTTAAAAATTACATTTATAGGCTAAATTAGTTAGGCCTACTAATTAACCATTTACTTGTTCTTAATGTTACTTGCTACCGTACTTAGAACTACTAGAAAAGTACTAGTAATAAAATGACTTGGTGAAGTCAAATTTAAAATAAAGCTCTTGTATCAGTATTTCATCTATAATCAAGTAGGGATCTACTACTGTTAATTTAGTTACTTAGTACTAATTACTTAGGCCTTGAAGGCTAATGTGAGTTTGTTTTGTTAGTGAGTTAATGTAGGGATTGACCCGTTTTTCACGATCGTATCCGGTGTCCCGAAAAAAGTCTCTTGGGGCACCTAAATGTCCTGTTTCTAAAACCAAACACTAAACTTTCCTAATTTATAATACAACTTCAAGTAATATTTTGGCTAGCTGTGTAGCCAGTGCCAGTGTGATGTGCACTGTTCCCCATCCACCACTCTGCTGATGCTGCGTAAATGACAGTATCCCTGCCATAGATCTTACATGTATAAATAAATAAGTATTCACTGCAAAATTATTGTTTTCTTTTTTGATATGCCTCAGAGTTTAAATTAAATTACAAAAATGATGGTAAATTTAAAAAGATTTTTAGGTCTGAAAATAGTTAAAATTAGCATATTTCAAATTCCAGGAGGCCCCTGAACCCCTCTTTAGCTCGAGGGTATCCCCCCCAAACCCTCCTTGGGTGTGTCCCGTTTTTTCCAGTTCATGATTTGGTTACCCTTAGTTATTATTGGGCTCAACTTGTATCAATAATAATTAATAATCATAACCTTCAGAGGCCAAATATAATAAAAAGAGCTAGGGAAATCTACTAGTATATGTACTTGCTAGGTCATGCAGACTCAAGACTAGATTATTTTAACAGTCTGGTGATCATCATCATTCAAATCCAGTGGTCATTTGGCTATCGGCATGTGCCCTTTCAGCCATGGTGAAGAATTAGCACACTCTCCGCAGTTATTCTTTGTTTGAATATGGGGCCTTGGTGTAGTCTGGTGTTTTTGATAGGCAGTTTAGAATGTTAGTAGTAGTAAACGAGTAGGCATAAATTCATAAATAAATAAATGTGAATGAGGTACTGATACTGAACAGTACTAGTCTGGACACGCTCTACCAGTGAATTATTGTGTAGAGCTTTGATATAAATTTGTTCATCTCGTGTTTCCAATAAATTATCAAACCTATTTTAAATGTTTTATCTGTTCCAGCATTCTTAAGCATGAATCAAGTCAGAAAGTAGGTAAACATTTGATTTTCAAGCTTAACATAACCATTTCCTTGTCACCAAGTTCAACAAATTTTCAGGTTGATTCAAATTAAGGATTTGCCAAAGGGTGTAAAAGTGCAACGGAAGTTAATGGCACAAATATGTATTTTTACTATTTCACGAATAAATCAAAATTATTTTATGATTAAATCATTAAAATGTTAAATATTTTAAAGCCCTGCACAAATGCCTATTAATTTTCATCAGTTATTAATAAATATAAACTAGTGTGTCTGAGTCCCCAAAACGCTGTCATCACACAAATGAAATGTTATGACTCCTCGTGAGATATGATTAACTTAAACTTTTAATTTTCTACCTAGTTCTACTTCTGACTTCTCTAGTCGTGCGTGCACTTGACTAGCTAAACTAGCTTTAATTACGTTACAAGCGGATATTAATTTATTAAGGTCAGTGACTTCCTACTGCATTGCCAATGAAATTTATTGTTTTATTTCTTAATTTCCCCCAAAAAACATTTGTTGTTTTTCTAGGCTAAAAATAACATCATATTTTTTTTTTTTTATAGGCTAGCCATTGGGTCATGGTAAAGGTTTTGAAGTCACGTGAACAATGTTTGCAAACATGGCGACAGCAGAGAAGTTTGACAAACTTTTTGGATTAACAACGCATTCTGAACACATCTATATAAAATTTTTAATTTATAAAATGAACTAAATGTATGATAATATGCCAAGGATATGGCTTCTGGTGATAATTCTGTAACCGAGAATACAACTCCAGATTTTCTGAGGTCATTTTCTCAAATAGATGTTGATGAATCGGATTCTGATTATGATGAACTATCTCCAATACCTGAGACACCGGGTGAACATTTAGAGGAGGATTATCGCGATGCCGCCGACGGTGGTATGTTGTGTTAATTTTATGCATTAAATTTTATATCATTTTGTCCACCGAATTCAGTTTACTCAGTTGACCAAACTAAAAAGTAAAATAACGGAATGATTGTTTACTCCCTTTTAATATACAAAATAAAGAAAGTGTAAGTGTAAGAGTAAGAAATTAATATCTTTGATTTATATATTATATAGTTTTACTTTTTATTAGTAAACATTTTACAGTAAAATTCGTATATTTTTATATATATGTTACTCAAACTGTCATAGCTGTACCACAGGGATGGAAAGTGAGAGACTTTAAATAAAAAAAAAAATATTACCATCTCTCTGGCCTAAGACAACAGGCATCTCAGAGTTCCTGCACTCTGCCTCTCTTTCTCTCCTTCTTTCATGTAAGTAAATGATCAGAGATTCCATCCAATTGACCAATTGAAAGAGTTAGTGATTGTTTTTTCAAACAATGAAAGTCCTGCATACAAACAAACATTTTCATTTAACTGTCTCACAGACAAACATGCTGTCCACATGACACTCTATCTTACAGACGCGACACTAAATTGGCAAATCGAAATCCAAACAATTTAATAATAGTAAAGTTTATTTGAAAAACATGCTTCATCTCCAAAGGCTCGAAGTGCAGTATAAAGTCAACCATATTAAAAATTTAAAAAATTTTTTTTTGCTTAACATCAAAAAGGGGTTTGATACATGGGACATAACATTTTTACAGAATCATACACAATACTGTATGAGCCGTCTTATAGTAATAACCTTATTTAAATACATGATACAAACATGCATTCGACATGGCTTCCTTGTGACACTTTGTCTGACACTGAGACGAACAAGACACAAACATATTCATCATGCCCTCCCCCGCAAATTGGTTCATTCGTAGCAGCCACAATATGCATATACCAATACATTTTTTTAAAAAGTAAATTGAAAAGTGGATTGAAACAGCAATTACTTTCCAAGGAAATTCTATTCAACGAGAGTGTGAACTTGTCACACTAATGATTTTCTCTTTGCCGCTCATCGGCTTATGTGTCACCATGTGCTTAATGTTTTAAAAGGAGAGCATAGTGTGAGCCTTGTTGACTCATCAGTTTATTTTCACAAACATTTGATTACTAAAAGGGCTACATTTCGCTATGATCATAGCTTATTCAGATTGCATATCTACTGTTGTTATAATGAATTATTAAAACAAATCCTGTCGCTGATGTAATTCCACTAAATAACAACGCCTCCCCCCCCCCTACACCCAAGCAAACATATATATAAAAAACATAAATATATTTATTTAAAAAAGTAAATGAATATATAAATATACAATGATTAAATGTATTAGAACTAGCTATATCACAGCTCTCCTGCTCTCTAAAATATAATCTATAATATCCATTTAAAACATGAAGACTATTTAACACTCATTCCAATAATTGGCAAGAGATTTTTGTATATTCCTCTAACTGTTGCCCAAGTTAAGGAATTTTTTTTTATAAAACCTTCTTGTGCAATGCATTGGAAATCGGACCAACTCTTGTTGTCTTCACAAGAATCATCACTTGGTCTTAGTACATAAACTATTATTTCTGTGTCCGGTACAACAGGTCGGTAAAAAGATAACTATAATTTATCAGCATGTTGTAATGTTGTAGTACTGATGAGTGTTTTACCCATTTTTAATTTGAAGTGGCTGCTACTAATACGGAGATAACACCCGTTTCAAACTATCCCTCTTTTTTTATTTACATTTTCAAAGGAAAATAAACTGTAGGGGGCAATGTTCCCTCTAAGGTTTGCTGGTTCGTGTGCAAAATCCTACAGTTGTGTGCAAAGTTTTACAACATCAATTTTTTGTGTGCAATATTTTACAGCCATCAAATACAAACACACACTTACATGGAAATTTGCTGCACGGATACTCAAAACTGCTGCGCGGTGTCTGTGAGTAAGCTGCGCTGCCGCGCAGCTTAAAGGGAACATTGGTAGGGGGTATTATTGATACTATTGATACGCTTGCATTCGCGGATCCGCCACTGAGTGCAAGTTAAATTGATTAGCCCTGACGCTTGTACAAACACGTAGTACTGTTTCCACACTTAGGTCAGCGAGAAGTGACTTTAATCCTTTGACACAACATTCGGTTCAGGGTCGCTAAATTTTTTTGGTGACGTCTCACAAAGCTCAATGGTTTTGACTTGGTTGACCTTAGAATAAACTAGATTCCGCGTTCTGCATTCAAGCCGGTCTGGCCCGTGGGGAATCCTGTCATAAAATGCAACGGCAGTACGGTGATTCTCAAAATGGTGTCCCGGGAATTAGATAAGAATGCCGTTTAGTATTGAACAGTTTCTCGGCGCCTCGGGTCATGCTAATTCGTTATTATCCACACGCTGTAGCGTCTTTCGTGTTGCGTCATAAGTAGGGATCGTGGTTTCATCACATTGCTGTCAGTATTTTAGATTGTCTCATGCCTTGTATTCCAGGCATTTGTTTATTCTTATTCCAATTCTGTTTGTTTTTGTTTGTTTGTTTGTTGTTGTTTTTTGAAGATGAAATGAAGCCTTTCAGGAGAAATGTTTCAAACATTTTCGTAATTTTTTTTGTAAAATCTATAGCAGAATCGAGGTTGTTGGTTTTTTTTTCAACTTCAAGAGTTCACCTCAAGAGGACGGTAGTTTTCAGGCCAACGGAAGTGAAACAAGCAATAGCCCTTGTCCTTGATTGACTGCCCGCTGGGGGACACGGCTCCAGCACACAGCAGGTCATTGCACTAATGGGCACGACACGACACAACGGCACGATAGTCGTCAACCTTTAGGGCTGTGCGGTCACGGGAGTTCTATTAAGACAAAAGACAGCAGTAACCGGAACGTATCACCATTCCCAATACTGATTCTGAGGTTGCGTGGCCTCCTGTCATCATTTAGTCATGCAACGCACTGCTCATCGGCTCATTGGTCAACAGCTACATCGTTTTCTTTGCTTACGGGGAGTTCTGTTAGAGCAGCGGTTCTCAACCGGTGGGTCGCCACCCCTTTGGGGGGATCGAGTGACCCTTACACTGTGGTCGCCTAAGACCATCGGAAAACACATATTTATGAAGTAGCAACGAAATTAAATTTATATGTGGGGTCGTCATAACATGATTAACTGTAAAAGGTCGCGGCATTAGGAAGGTTGAGAACACAAGTGTTCGGGATTCAAATAAAAGTTACTCCAAAGACTCATGCTGTGACAAGAATTTACAGCCCCAACTACTACTTAATTTGAGGCTGTGCAGACTCATGTCATCATTTATTCACCCAACTGTTGCTCACTGGTTCATTAGTCCTCAGCAGTCTCATGTCATCATTTATTCACCCAACTGTTGCTCACTGGCTCATTAGTCCTCAGCAGTCTCATGTCACCATTTATTCACCCAACTCGTTGTTCACTGGTTCATTAGTCCTCAGCAGTCTCATGTCATCATTTATTCACCCAACTCGTTGTTCACTGGTTCATTAGTCCTCAGCAGTCTCATGTCATCATTTATTCACCCAACTCGTTTTTCACTGGCTCATTAGTCCTCAGCAGTCTGATGTCATCATTTATTCACCCAACTCGTTGTTCACTGGCTCATTAGTCCTCATCAGTCTCATGTCATCATTTATTCACCCAACTCGTTGCTCACTGGTTCATTAGTCCTCAGCAATCTCATGTCATCATTTATTCACTCAACTGTTGCTCACTGGTTCATTAGTCCTCAGCAGTCTCATGTCATCATTTATTCACCCAACTCGTTGCTCACTGGTTCATTAGTCCTCAGCAGTCTCATGTCATCATTTATTCACCCAACTCGTTGTTCACTGGCTCATTAGTCCTCAGCAGTCTCATGTCATCATTTATTCACCCAACTCGTTGCTCACTGGTTCATTAGTCCTCAGCAATCTCATGTCATCATTTATTCACCCAACTGTTGCTCACTGGTTCATTAGTCATCAGCAATCTCATGTCATCATTTATTCACCCAACTGTTGCTCACTGGCTCATTAGTCCTCAGCTGTCTCATGTCATCATTTATTCACCCAACGCGTTGCTCATCGGCTCATTAGTCCTCAGCTG